TTTTTGTGGAACTGGGGATTGAACTCAGGCCCTTGCGCTTGCCAGGGAAGCTCTTATGCTACTGAGTCATCTTCCCAGCCCAGGAGGATTGTTGTGAGTTCAAGATCAGCCTGAGCTACAATGTGATCTCAAGGCCAGCCTGAACTGCATGGCAAGACTGTATCTTAAAAAGAAAAAAAAAGCCAGTGTGGGAAACAACTAGGTCATATGCATTTGCTACTTAAGCAACCATATCAGATCCAAAACAGCTCCCAGCCTACACCTGAACCAGTGAAAAACTGCCTCTATACTGGTAGGAAGTTTAAAAAACAAAACAAAACAAAAACTTAAATTTTTTTTGCATTTAAGTAATAATTTATGTTAATGTAAAAATTCCCCATTTAGATCAGTTAATAGTTTGAACTACATTGACATGGAAGAGAAAACAGAATAATCTTAGGTGTAAGATGACAGTTTTGGATGGTTTTGAAACTAAGCAGAAAAAACTCCAAAGTCTGTGTTGATATTTGGCACTCTGTAATCAAGGAATAAAGTCTGAAAGGTGTGGCACCAGTATAAAACGAGTTGTGTTCACTTCACAACTTTTTTTCCTTTGAGGGGGGCAAGTGATTGAACTCAAGGCCTTGCACTGAGCTACGTCCCCAGCTTTTTTCTCTTCTTTGAGAGCTGGTCCTAGTAAGTGGGTAAATTGTCCAGTCTGGGCTCCAACTCGCAAACATTCCTGCCTCAGTCTCCCACAGTACCGGGATTACAGGTATGTACCATCATAGCTACGTAGAAATATAATTTTCCATAAGTCTATAGAAGTTCTAGAACTAAATTGAAAGAGTCATCACAAACAGAATGTTATGATGGTTTCCATAACAGCATTTACCCCTGAACACTAAAGATTTTCCCATGGGAAATATAATAAAAAGGAGAAGCCTGGTGGCCAATGGTGCCCGGTCTTTGGAGGATAACCAGACCATAATACCGCACATCAAGCTTTATGAAGCCATAATCAAAGAAGACTGCACTGCCATCAAGGCACTCCTTAAAAATCACCCCGTCGACCAGCCTTTGACCATTCCGTCCAAACATACCGGCTACACGTTACCCTCACGCCAGGTACCTGCATTTCTGTTGTTGCTTTTAAAAGAAAGAGGCATATTGAGAAATACAACATAATGCTTATGAATTTCCTAAGCTCCTCACGGTCCTCACAAAACATGCAACCCAACTGCCCCGCTTCAACATGCATGTCCCATGCACAAGCAGTGTACCCTGAGGTCCTGTGAGCCCCAAGGTCCCCGAGGTTCCTAGTCTTACCCATAAACAGATGGAGAGAAAGACTAGAAATTGTTTGGTCAGAAGGACAGTAATGCCATACTCTTCAACACACTAGTAGGGATTATGTCTGTGTAGAATTCTTTTCCCCCATTAGGACATACATTTTTTTTTTTTTTTAATTTTTTTGGCAGAACCAGGGATTGAACTCAGGCCCTTGTGCTTGCCAGGGAAGCGCTTAGTCTACTGAGCCATCTCCCTGGCCTCTAGTACATACATTTTTATGTCTAAATTTTTATACAATTATTGCCTTTATAATTAATTTTTTTTTCCAAGAAGGACAACGCCTTCTTCTCCATCTCCTGTTATCTTACAGATACAGTGTAAAGACACTAATTACATATGTATTTTAAGAACTGGCACACAGTTCTGCTTATCATAGACAGAACACATGCTGTGTTATCGTTTTGAAAGCCCTGAAAATGCAGATTTTACTGCTAATAGTATGACTTTAGCAAAGCCTTAAAAACTGTAACATAACACCTACTCATCAGTAATTTAAGGACTAAGGGACTTCACAGCAATTACCATCAATTTTACACCATGAGTTATTCACAAGAAGCAACTTCCAAAGCTTTAGGTGTTATTTCTGTTGGCTTGGTAAATTTGTGTTTCAGGAAAACATAAATTGTATAACACGAAATTCCCTGGCCTCTGAAAACAGGCAGTAGAGAAGAAAAATTTAAATGAGCACCCAAATACTGAACCAATGGAATACTCCCATAGTTTCTTTGGATTGGCAAGCTAATGTAAATACTATTTTATAAAGTCTGATTGCAATTCACTTTGGTTTCCCCACAGCTGACACGTTCCATCATTCCCATTCATCTGGCTGTCAAATACCGCAATGCCCAAAGTTTGCTCTGTTTGTTACAACATGGGGCTGACCCAGAAGTCAGGTGAGTTAATGCAGCATCCACATCTAAGTGAGGGTGTGTGTGATACAGAGGCTACTTGTCCTGTTATGTCTGAGTTTGTTCATTCCTTGTGGACATGGCTTATAAGCTATGTTTCCAAGGAACCCACTTCTTTACTGACTAGATAAGATTCTCTGGAAGTATGGAAATAACACAGGCATAGCCAGCCATATACCTGCATGTTGAGCTCTGTCACAGTGCTGTGGAAAAATTTATTAAGTTCCTGCCATAGCACTCAAGAAGTTTAACAACTTAAGTTTGAAAAATAAAGAACAGCCAGTGGCTTTCCTTATTACACTCCACTAGAAGATAAAGTTTCATTAAAGAGAAATTTATCTTGCTTACAACACTGTCCTTAGCACCTAAACCAAGTGCCTAACACTAAGTACCCAATGAATGCTACTTGAATGAAATAAAGAATTATACAGTACAAAATAGAATTTGAGTGCAAATCCTTACCCTGATCAGACGTGCCAACCTACTATGTCCTGCTCTTACTTCTCCCTACACATACCAAGCCCCACCCTGCACCTGCAATCAGTTCCTAATATCAGTGAAGCAGTCAGACTCTGATGACAAATCTTCTCCATTCTCTTAAAGAAATTTTGGAGTCAGTCCTAAAAGCTGAGCACCAACCCATAAAATTCTCATTCCACTTGGACTGGAACAAAGGATAAAGATGAACTCGTTTCATTAACTTCATAGTGACCATATATTCCCACATTCAACCCTTGTCATCTCTCCTACTACCTATACTTATAAGGGAACACTTCAGGGAGGGGACAGACACAGAGACACAAAACTAAGTAAATGGAGTCTGGACCTTTAGAGTTCACTTCTTGGGTATTAACAGCTTGTACCCAAATCTACAGCTTCGTCAAATGTCCAGGAACCCAGCCTGGTACTGGGCAAGGATGGGCCCTGCCTTCAACAGCAAAGCTGAAATAGGCTTCTCTAAAGAGCTTGACACATCATGCAGGGCTGCATGCAACTTTGTTCCCTCAAAACCCCTGTAATATCCTAAAAAACTGCCTAACAATATAGGGCTTGAAATACTATAATGAAATTAAAGGTATTACTTTATAAAAATAAAGTAATATTCTGCTATGTAGAGCTGTTCTCACAATGAATCTCCTGTGACATGTCATAAATATCTTCCAGGGACACACGAGGCCTTACCACTCTCGAGCTGATGATACTGCACTGGCCAATCAATTCTACCACATGGTTAAAACCAGGTAACAGAATCCAAAGGATCCTGACAGAGCACGACAATGCTGAAACATGTCTCCGCATCTTGTGTGCATATGGAGCTCAAGTTAATGCCCACGCAGACAACAGCAACAAAATTTCCCCCCTCCACTTGGCCGTATCATATGGGACCAATTCAGTTCTTTCCACACTGGTTCAAAATGGTGCACAGGTCAATGCTATTAATGAAGCCTGCATGACACCCCTTCACATGGCTGCAGATCTACTGAGTAAGGACATGATAGAAACACTTATTGCATATGGTGCGAATGTGAACTATGCGGTCTCAGCCACGGGGAATACGGCCCTGATGCTGGCAGTGTGCACTGCATCCAGCAAAGCAGGCCGCCTGCTAGCAGCAGGGCTGAGCTGCATCCATTTGCTGTTAATGCATGGAGCCAAGGTCAATGCCCAGAACTGTGAGGGTCAAACAGCTCTCCATGAGGCATGTTTTGGAGGTAGAGAGGCGATAATCAATCTCTTGCTTGAATTTGAGGCAAATGTTAACATTTTAACAAAAAATGGGGAATCTCCAATTTATATGTACCTTCTACGCAGCTCCAATCTCAGAGACAAGACTCTTTTTGCTAAGCTACTTTGTCGCACTTATCCTCTGAGATTGACCAATAAGCAAGGAATTCTACCTGTGGGAATCATGCCACAAGAATTCTACTCCTTTAGGCAAGCCTTAATAACCTTATCTCGAAAACCTTTATCTCTAGAGGACATCTGTAAAAAAACCATCAGAAATCTTTGTAGCGAGAAACACAAACATCACCTGAAGCAATTTCTCCCAGTAAAGATATGGAACTCAATATACTGCTGTTCCGACTTAGCTTACCTAAAGTAAGACCAAGTTCCTCGGTCACAGAGACTTCAGCAATTCGAACTGCATTTTCTGGCTAGAGACATACCAGAAAATACTGAACCCGTTATCTTTATATCCCAATGTACGAACTACTGCTTCTTAAAGCTTTTTCAAAAAATAAAATGATTCACACATTCTCTCATTTTTCTAAGTTTTCTTTTAAATCCTTTCTTCATGATACAGTTTTTACTTAAAAAGCACATTACTTTAAAATCAGCCAAAGAAAAAAATATATTTTCTCTGCATATGTATATGTGTGTGTATATGTAGGTCTGTGTATGCAGGTACAACTTTTTTTAAAATTTTGAGACAGGGTATCTCTAAGTCACAAAGTTGCTCAAGCTGGACTACCCTCCTGCCATGAGTGTCCAGAGTTCCAGTACTGTGCCACCAGTATACGTGTGTGTGTGTGTGTGTGTGTGTGTGTGTGTGAGCGCGCGCGCGTTTATCTCCAGTCTGATTTCAAACTCCTGGGCTCAAGTGGTCTTCCCACAACCTGTGCAGCTGAGACTAGAGGCGCATGTCTTTACTTCCTTATGTAGTTTTTAAAACAACAAAAGGGTTGGCAATATACCTCAGTAGCGTAAGTGCCTGCCTGGCAAGCACAAGGTCCCAAGTTCGAGCCCAGGTACCACAAAAATAACTAAATAAATAAATAAAATAGCAAACAGTAGGATTTTCCAGAAATAATTTTAGATCTAAGGATGCAATAATAATTGAGCATTTTTTATGGTATTAAGTACATTTAATACCACCCATAAGATTAGTATTTAGAGCACATTACTAATAAAACAATATTCATACTCCAGAGAATTTTCAAACATTTCAAAATTTCTGCTTTTAATTCAATCTAAGGGCTTCATGTTTTGGACCTGTGAAATGCTGATTTACATAAATAATAACCCTCTAAGCAAATGAACAAGAGTACATCACTCTTTAAATTCAATGAGCCCTAGCGAATCATGGTGGTGCATGACTATAATCCTAGCACTTGGGAAGTTGAGGCATAAGCCATGAGTTCAAGACCAGCCTAAACTACATAGCAAGACCATATCTCAAGAATAAAATAAAAAATAAAAAGATTAAAAATAAATAAATAAATTCAAAAAGCCGGGCTGGCCAGATAGCTCAGTGGGCTAAAGCACCTGCTTAGGCAGAGCGCAGTGGCTGGGGTTTGATTCCCGGCATGCTGTGCTGGCCCCCAACACCCAGGGCACACTGAAATGGCAACCGAGATTGGGAGTGGTGGCGTGCACCTATAATTCCAGCACTTGGGAGGTTGAAAACAGGAGGATCACTATGAGCCTGATCTATGTAGTGAGACCCTGTAAATCCTGTACTAAATTAAAAAAAAAATTGAAAAGCCCGTATCAAATCATCTCTCACTAATTTCAAGGATTTAGTTAACCCACTTACCTTCAGATCTCTGTGTACAATCCCCATATTATGTATATAAAAAACACCTTCAACCAATTCTTGAAAAATTTTTGTTGCAACACTGGCTATAACATAAGGACCTAGAAGGGGAAACAAACAAATGTTAAATTGGTTCTAAAATAATTACCACCTTATGTTAGTATGACAGATCTGTCACAGTAGGGACCGGATTTTTTTCCAATTGACTATTGGGTTATGGTTTGGGTGAGGAAATCCACAGACAAACTATAGTTCTCATCAGATCATATTAGCATATGATGTATCAATATATATATTTTTTTAAAGAACACAAAATAGTAAAAAAAAAAAATTAGAAATGACATAAAATTTCATTAAGCAAAGTAAAAGAAGTTCAACAATGGATGCTGCACTGCATGATGTTATCATTCAAATTAGTTGTTTTAAGGGCCGGTGAGATAGCTCAGCAGATTAAGCACCTGCTAGGGCAAGTGCAGGGACTGGGGTTTGATCCCCTGCACCACATGCTGCACCAGCCCCACTCGTGGGCACACTGAGACTGTGTGTGGTGGCGCACACCTGTAATCCCAGCGCTGGGGAGGCTAAAAACAAGAGATCACTAAGAGTCTGAGCTGCATAGTGAGACCCTGTACCAAATACATTAAAAAAAAAAAATTAGTTGCTCAGGTTACCAAATGTAAACCTGAAAAATTGATAAAAAAAAAAAAACACAAAAAAAAGCTGTAAGAAATTCAAAATAAGAAAAAAAATTTTAAGCATTAACTGCTTTCAAAAGAACAGCAGATATTAGCAGCACAATTATCCAAACTACCCTGCATATATGCATAAATATTTTTCCCTTTTATCCTTTTCTTCATCTCAGTTTTCGCTTCATATTGAACAAATTATTTTGTTTTCACACTATTCTACTGGACTTTTCAGACTGATGTACCAGTACTGATGATGGCTGTGATCTCTGGCTAAGGCAATGTTTGTCAGGTTCCTCCACTGTTGTTTTATGGGTCTTTTTTGGGGGGCAGGGGGAGGTTAAAACAGTGTCTCATAGGTATATATTACTATGCCTTGCTTTCAACTGTTTTCTTCATAGGTTTTCTATCTTTTTGAGACAGGGTTTTGCTATGTAATTCAGGCTGGCCATGAACTTCGTTTGTATCCCTGACTGGCCTTGAACCTGTGGTTAGCCTCCTGTCCCAGCCTCTGGAGTGCTAAGGTTATAAGCATTCATCACCACATTTGGCTTTTTGGTTTTTTCTCACGTTTTTTGTGGTTTACTTAGAGTTCACATTGGCCTCAAATGCAGCAATCCTGCCTCAGCCTCCCGAGTGATAGAATCTAGCCTTCATTGACATCTTTTTCTTTTGTTTGATTCTACTTATTTAAAAATATTTAGCACATTTAAAGTTCAAAAACAAAAAAAATTAATGTCAGAATAGTGTTTACTTCGTGGAGAGGTTTGAGTAAAGAAAGTGCATGAAGATTTCTGAACTGCTTCTTTAGAGTAGATAACTGGAGGTATCACCGTATGTTGTTAGTGACGCTGCGTGCTACCGTCAGTCATGACGCACAGATAACCTAGCCTCATACCTGCCTGTCAGAATCCATGGAGGTAGGCAAACATATATTTAGCCAGAATCCAGGCTGTAAAGGAGTCCAGAATATCTAGTTTATGGAGTCTTTCTAGTTTCCATAGGTGATAGGCAAGAGTCAATCTGCTTACAATAATGGATTCTGTACCTCTTGATGCCTGAACTCAAGTTTGAGTGACAACCTTTAAGTGGCCCTGGGTTTTTGGATGTTTGACGATTCTTTGTTTGGTGCTCTATTTCCTCCTTTAAACTCAAGAACTGTGGCTAGCAGTTGGAACATGCAAAGATTCTCCTCTTGCTCCGGGGCCTTCAATAACGATACATGTATGGATTTTAGGCTTTGAAAATAGCAAAGCAAAAGAGACAAATTCTTACTATTTTCATGGCATGTTCTAAAATGCGCTTCCACACCTGCAAAGACCAACAATCTGTAACTGCAAACCTGGCACACATAGGGCATTTTCCAGGTCTACGGTTGTCTTTCACATATTGTAAGAGAACCTTATCTGTCTCAAACAACAATTAACAGATTTCACAAACAAGAGTCTGGTTCTGTCTGCCTTTCTCCTTAATGTTGCCCACAGTTGAAGTCACTAAGTAACAGGATCAGGCTTCCTCTCTTGGAGTCTCTGGTGGTTGATACATTGTGTCAACTGGACAGAACAGAAGCTTAACTGGTGCTGGAAGGGCTGGCCCTAGAGTGTCTCAGAACTGAAACAGTACATAAAGGGGTTGAGGAAGGCTTCTGCCCTACACTTCCTTGGAGGAGCTTGATCCCAGCAGCCACGCCACTTTGTTTTGTTTTGTTTTTTTTTTTTTTTATTAAATAATCCATTGTTTGTTTGCGGAACCGAGGATTGAACTCAGGCCCTTGAGCTTGCCAGGGAAGTGCTTAGTCCACTGAGCCATCTCCCCGGCCCCAATCCATTCCTTTTATGT